TGATTGTTTTTGCTAGGTGTAATTCATTTGTGAACTAGTATTGTTTTAGAATATTTGGCATAATCCTTGTATTTAGCATTTGTTTCATGTTTCTGTTATTGTTGTAGTTTAGTGGTAGGTATATTTCTTTTTATGTACCATTTTTCATTTGAGCCATTGCATTTGTTTTCCGTTTTTCAAAACTAGTTGATTTACGATTCTTTGGTTGATTACTTTTTATTCTTTGAGTTGTTTGGCCTTGTTTGAGGACAAACAAAGTTTAAGTTGGGGAGAGTTTGATAAGTGTAAATTGTAGTTATTTTTATATATACTTTTTGTTGCACTTATCTACTTTTTGTTTGTAAAATCATTGAATAATCCCGACTTTTGTGTAAATTCATTTAATTTATGTTTATTTGTGTTTTTGTGTATATAGTGTACCGTTTGATGTTTTTTAATTTGTTTTGTGGGTATTTATTTCATATTTGGAGCATGAGCAATAAAGTGTCGAAGACACGACTTCAAACGCGCGATTTTGAGCAACTCGTCAATGAGTAAGGCTCAAAATCAAAGAATAATAAATCATCAATTTGGTTTATATTTTTTCATTTTTATAAAGGGTATTTAATAATCTTTCCAACTCTTCGAACCGGGCGCAAATCGGAGTTACGATTCTCAAGTTATGGCGAAAACAAAATGCTGATTTTTTTCTCATGATAGCAGAGCACGCTTAGCAGGATTTTGCCGCTTAGCGCAGTCCCCTGGACAGAATTACGTTAAAAAGGGCAAAAAACACATTTTTAGGTTATGTATTGGGTTATTTGTTCCCAACTCATCAAACCTTCATTCTTTGATATTTAGAGCTTAGAAAACAACATTTATAGCTTGTAATCGGGTGATTTGGGGTCTAAAGCTTGATGGATCGTGTTTGACGCCGCGGGAAATTGGGTTTTATCTTCTCTTCTTCTCTTTGTAACTACTATTTTTTTGATTTTATATGTAACTTTATCTTGATTATATGTATATTTATTGCTCATGGTGTTGTATGAAACTTTCTTTACAAATCTTTATTGATGTTTATCCTTTTTAGCTTGCTAAGGCTTTGGGTTTGAGATGTTGCAGAGAAGGATGGATTGAATCCGGACTTAGGATGAATATCTATTAGGCTTAGATTCTAGAGATAGATTTAGGCTTAGTAATAACTTAGGTATCGACTATTAATGCCTCTGTGTTGTTTGTGTTGTGTTGAGAGATCGTCGACATAGAACGATATGTTTGATATCTCACTCTGCGTTTGAGATGACCTATGTGTGAGCGATACGTGACGATATTGACGAGTAGTTAAGGTTAAGTGTAACTGAGTACTAAGTTTAAGTATTTGATATGGTAGACAAAATACAAACTCGAGAGTTCCTTAATATTCGAAGAATGAAATTCTTTTTATGTTTATAACTTTTAATTTTTGTACCTTACAAATAAACCCATTTAAAACCAAACTCACAAACGCGAGACTTTGTCGAACGGCAAATCAATAACAAATCTCTGTGGACATAATACAATATAACCTAAATACTACCCAGTAAAAACAATACTTTACTTTTTGCTTGCTGCTTTAACGCAACAACAGACATCACATTCGACACGTTGCTCTAGTTGATAAAAAATATTTTTTCAACATGTTTATGCTAAGTTAGTTTTACCAAACATAATGTCAATCACAGAAATAGATAATTAACAATATTCCACCCAAGGTTATCAAAATGCATCTCATAGAGGCAATCTTAATCCTTATCTTGACCCTCCTGAGACTTCTTAAAATATGCAATAAGATTTTATATCCTTCTTTGAGAAGAGTCCACCACTCGACTCTCTTTAGTGAAAGCGGAATCTTCCATATGTAACAATGTCTAAGAAAAAACTAAAGCTTCATTATTATTTGTTAACTCGTGCACAATTATTTACCTTAGATTTTGGTAAACAGTCGTTAGTATTCCAAAATTGATACTTTGGTTACTTACATGATCGACTAGATTGATCCTAGAACATATGTGCCTAGTTTTGTTAAGTTTTCTTAATAATGAACACTTCGACACTACTAGAAACTTTGAAAGTAATGCAAAGACGACTTATAAAAAGTACAGGAATATAAAGTAAATTCTTCTGAAACTTAAATGGAATAAAATTGACATTAATTTAAATGGTTTGACATTGAATGTAAATATGGTGATTCATACGTACATGTTACTCATAAAACTCTTTTCTCAACACACTTAGATACTTTGAGTGATTTTGAGTTTGGTACAGTTAAACACCTGAATCCTAACGCTAAGACCACTACTTATATTACTTTGCTAGTAACGATAATGAACCGTCTTTTCTCTATATAATGACACGTTCTCCCTTTCATGAATTTCGCCTTTCACATGCTTCCACGTGTCTTTTTGAAGAAAATAGATAAGGCCAAAAAGCAATTATCAACCTCATTTCAAATTATCTTGTCGAACTCGCCTTTAAAAGCAGTTTTTTGGCTTTCTCTGTTTTCTTAAAAATATCTTTTCGAAGAAAATAGAGAAGGCCAAAAAAGGGCTATCACCCTGAAGGCGTGGGATTATTTTGCTAAGTTCAAGTCGAAATCTTCATCACTACTTCCTAGTCAAAATCAACTAGCTTTCTCCAAAATAATTCCTTCAGCTTTACTTGATTTCTTAAATTCTCTTGAGCATCGAAATTTCAGCTAACAACAATAAATTTCATCTTCTCAACCATGGTGTCGGGATACTCGAAAGGATAACAAATGACTTTTATACCCAAAAATAGGGTAGACACCCCTTGAAGATCTTTGAAATATTGGTCTTGTTCGATGGTAATGGAGACAAAATGTTCTTGATCACTTTTTCTCCTTTTTAAGGCGGTAGGAAAAGAAGACCTTTCCTCGTCCAGCAACACCAAAGGCCAGTATGACCAGTGTTGGACATGTATTATAAGCCAAATGTGATAACTCCTCATAGTGAGCTTATTCATTTTTGTTTGAGAAATAAGAATAATCCTCTTTAGATATGGGAGACTAAAACTCCCTAACCGTCCTGACACCTGGGAGGGTAAGAAATTTAAGAGGAAACACAGTCAAGCATAAGCAGAATTCCCCACAAAGCTTGTCCTCCTTGAATTTCGTGATAGAAGTTTAAGGGGCTTAATGAGAGACTTTTCCGCTTGAAGCTCTTTAAGTATAAGACTAGATTCAAGTTTCCTATATCACATAACCATGATGAAAATTTATCATTCTTCATTGTAACCCAAATAGTCGAATATCGAACTTCCACTTGTGCCGGAGTAGACATGACATGGGTAACCAATAGAGTAGGGATGATCGTCTTCGAAATCTTTACAGTGGTCTAAATATTGGTAACACTGGCTAGAAGAGGGGGAACTTAGGAATTCCTCCTTATTTTATGCATTGTTTTCTCATGTGCATCCTATATGTAACGAAAGAATAATTAAGTTACAGAGGATTTCATCAAAGAGTATTGTAGCGATAAAAAAATGTAGCGGTGTAAATCGGAGATCAAGCTATTAATTAACTCGACTCGCAAAAGCAAGAGTCACCATCGCACTTTATTATTTCCAAGGGAAAGGGGAAAAGAGCGAAATAAAACCCTTAAATGTGCAATGTAAATTAATACTTAAAAGTAATGAAAATACAATGCGTTTTTGAAAGAGATCTAAGATTCGGGGGTTGGTTATACAAAGGGAAGGTACTAGCACCCAATGCATCTGCAGTATTCCGCAGGAACCTTTTGAAATATCTGTTTTTTTGGTTAAAATTGTTTGTTTGGTTAAAATGAGTGTGAATGAGATTTTGAAGATACGACGACCTAGTGTCGAAGTTTTGACTTAAAATGTGTGAGTTTTAAAATTGATTTTTTCAAGAAAATTAACTTAAGTTTAACAAAAACTAAAATTTATGAAGGGGTTTCGCACAATCGTATAAGAAATATTTTATGACATGAAGTCAACAAATTTAAAACATTTCCCTTTGGATTTTAGACGGACGAAAGATATAAAGATTAAATGATCGAGAACAAAGTTAATTAGAATGACAATTGACTAATTAAAGAAATAACAAAAATTATACTAGCATGTATTTTTGAACAATTAAATAAATAAATAAAATTAAATAAAAGACTAATTTATAAAAGCATGTATTTTTAAACAATTAAATAAATAACAAAAATTAAATAAAAGACTAATTTATAAAAGCATGTATTTTTGAATAATTAAATAATAAAAATTAAATAAAAGACTAATTTATAATAGCATGTATTTTTTGTATTTTTATAATGGCGAGAAATGATTGCATGTATAAAATAAACTAAACTAATATTTTTGTTATCAAATATTTATTAAAATTTGGGGAAGTAAGGCTAAAAGAACTAAAAAATGAAATAACTTGTCTTAGAGAGGGGTTAAACTCAGGTCTCTTGGGTTGCAACATATATGTCTTGCCACTGAACTATGTTTTTTATTTGTTATATCTATGCTTTAATTGAAATAAATGGGGATAACGATAAGGTGATTGGGCCAACAGGCCTATTGGGCCGACCCGATTTGGGAAGAGAACAAGGAAAGTTTTTTTGAAACCCTAAAAATAAAGAGGCGCCGGATTGTTGTTATTGGGAAGGAAAAGTATGCAGATTTAATTATCATTATTCAATTAAATCAATTAAAAGGAAATTTTTTGAAACAAAAAAATGATCCTCTCTCTCATCATCACCATTATCTTCTACCATTCTATTCCAACCATTCGTTTTTCTCTCTCTCAAACAAATCATCACCATCATCAACAATTCCTTTCCACGATTCAGACTTCAAATCCTTAAAAAAATGGTTTTCACGGTCAAGATATGCAACAGAACCGAAGCGACATAGAGGATACTTTTCTAGTTTTTGATTTGGCACGAGATCGGTCCGCTGAAGGGTTATAATGGTGTGGTCGATTGTATGCGGAGAGCAGAGTGCGGATTATGGAAGGGAAGGGAATTCACGGAGGGGAGAAGCCCGAAGAGGAAGATAAAGTGGTTTTTGGATGGAAGAAGGGTGTTCGAAGAATGTTTGTCGATTTTTCATTTCCGAGGTTGATGCGTAAGAGTATGTGAGGTTATGTTGGAGTGGGCGGTGAAGCAGGATTTGATGAAAGTTGAGTAGTCGGTGGAATGAACAGAGGTGATGATGATGAAACTAGTGAAGGGGGGTAGCTTCGGTTACTGTATGTTAGTAAATGGTGATGTCAGTAGATGGAGGTAGATTGGGGAATAAGGATCTTGTGAATTGAAGAAGAAGAAGAGAAGTGGGTTGGAGGTGCTCGAAGGGGAATTGTTTGCGGAGGTGAGCGTGTTGGAGTGTAGCAGTTGAGTTGATATAGGTGAGGTAGCAAGAGAGATTGTTGGCGATTTAAGGTGATGGTAGTATTAATGTTTACAGGCGATAGTTGGAATTGAAAGTGAGGTTGGAATGAAGAAGGTTGTTTGAAACAGGTTTGTTATTTTGGCAATTGTTTCTTCAATTTTCTTTCTCCCTTCAGAATCATTGATAACATGATTCAGGGTTGGAAACCAACCGGCTGGCAAGGTAAAAATTAACGGTTAAGGGTTTGGGATTTCAGAAGTAGCATCTTTAGGACTAGCATCTGCATGGTTAGGCTCAACCAATGTCGTGAAAGATGGTTGTTCAAATGTTCCTGATTTTCTAAATAGTTGTCTATCTGCAGGTGCAGCCTCTAGGGAGTTCAGGTCAGATTTACCTTCGTGTGTGCTTTTTACTACTCCTCCGGTTTGTCATGAGTTCATGTTTTTTGCAGTAGGAAGAGATTGAAGTAGGGATTAAGGTTAGCAAATGTAAGTGTAGAGACAATGGCAACGATTTTCTGTCTGGGATTTGTGTACTCCGAAAAAGAAATTTGAAGGTGTGTTTTTTATCTCTGAATTTTTGTGTCATTTTCTATACATTTATGTCGATGTTTATTATTATTACTGCAGTAAATCCAAAATACAGCAAAGTGATAAATCAAGCGACCATATGGCATAAAAGTGGTGCAAAAATAAGATTCAAACTGATGCTGCTATGCGAACGAGTTTAACAAATATATATATATATATATATATATATATATATATATATATATATATATATGAGAAAAAATATGCAGAAGTAATAGGGAGAAGAAATACCTATCGGAGTCTCTCTGATGGAGCTTCCAAAAAACACAGTAAGTTCTCCCTTCTTCTCTTATTGAGCCCAAGCTTCTTTTTACTCTGATTTTTGTTGTGATTCTTGTACCAATTCCTCCCTTTTTCTGTTAATGAAGGTGGCTTTTTATAGTGAAATATGTGGGGTTTTAGGGGGGGGGGGGAATATGAGAAATTTGAACAGTTATGAATGCCTTGTTTTGATGCCTTTTTCATATAGTTTTAAGTTGCCATTTTGGTGTAACCTCTTGCTGTTATGATGCAGGACAGTTGTGGCATAGTAGACTGTTTTGGAATGATCTACAGTGGTTTTCTGGCAGAATTCGGACCATTGCAGGTTGTTGTTTTTTGGACTAGTTTGTAGGGGGCTGCAACATGGTATTGGGCTGATTTGCAGGCTGTATTTTGACTGGTTTACAACAACTTTTGGCAGGGTATTGGAGCAAGATTTGAAGCTTTTAAAATTAACATTAAGTCTAGAATTTAACTTTATATGTAACATGAATGGAAACTTGTCTTGAATATAATTTTTCTCTCAAATCTTTTGTAGTTGTAAACACTTTGGATCATTTGAAACTTTGAATCTTTATATTCATCTTGATGAAATTCGAAATCTTCCACTTGAATTTGGAAAGGAATTGATTGATACTTGAATGAGTTTTTGAATAAGGAATGAACAATGATGAAAGCCTTAAGACCTCAATTTTGCATCTTGTATTAGAGATCCAAATGAATTACATGAATTGATCTTGTAATGAAGTTGTAACCATCATGTATTTATTCTTGTGATGAATGATTATTTGAATCAAGTTTCTCTTTTCAATATCTTCTTTAATAAATTCCTCATGTGAATTCAAATGGCCATGGTGGGAATCCATCAAAATAATCACACAAAAATAATCTTGAATAAATGCAGTGTGAGGAATGATTTGAATCTTGAATGAGCCCTTTTGATAACTTCTATTTAGTTAACACTTGAATTTAAACGATGAAGACTCCAAGTATTCTAAATAAATTCTTCTAAAGCGATCTTAAATTCAATCACCCCACTCTAACGAAATTCACCCCGCGTCATGTAAGTATAAGAAATTGAACCATACTTAAAAGCTTCAAATGATCACTAGAAGAGGGATTTGAGGCGAAATGTTATCGCATTGAGAATTTGGCACAATGAACTGAACTTAGAGATCCAGACGTCCTATAAAGGTTTTTCATGGCTTTCTAAACACAATTTTTCTTCAACTTTTAGAGAAAACTTGCTGAAAAATTTTGGTCGAAGTGTTTGGAATTGACTCGCGTAGTCTGATCTTTTCTTGTATTTCAAGGCAAGGTGAAACACACGTGAACCAATGGTAATGGAACCTTGACTGTTTTTTTTTTGGTGAAGAATTTTGGAGAAGCTTGAGGCCACTTGTTGAATAGAGCATGGAAATAAACACACGATTCTCAAACGTTCCCTGAAACAAGCTATCACACTCGAGACATCCGTGATCAAAGTAAGCTTGAACGATGTTCGAGACTCCATGCTCTTAGATTAGAAGTTGTGCCTTGATGAAACTTTCTTCGAGAATCAATGATCAATTGTACTTCTGGCTTGAGAAACTCAAAACCCTAATTGAGGCGTGACGCCTGATGCTCTTGATTCAAACCTGTTTCTGCACATGAAATCAAAGAAACAAAAAAAATACACTACGTGCTTGATTAGAAGTTAGTCATGCATAATATAAAATGTTCATAACACTCGATAATCTCTACACAAGAAATGCTCGAAGGTGAGAAGTTCGAAACCGACCATATTTCGTAACCTTGATGTATATAAAAAATGCAAATGAAGATGAGATCTTAGGTCATAAATTGAGGTATGACAGCTTCCCCTATTTAAGTTTCTTCTATCCAGAGATATGAAGATTGAAATCTTCGTCTCGACGAGATTGAAGGGACTTAAATACAGAATACGCAATTTTTGGCCCTAAGATACCACCATTGTGTTTATGATATGAATGTAATATTTGAATCTTATGGGGAATGATTTCGCGTGAGACAAACTAATGCTGGAGAAACCAAGCACATGGAAAAATAATCCACAAGGGAAGAAATTATAACTTTACTGGAGAAGCAGAGCCACGGACTTCGAACGAGAGACTCTTATTGGAGAATAACCTCGAGAGAAAGCAATTTTCTGACTCTAACAAATGAAACGCCTTGCAAGGCCGCGAAAAGATAGATGGTTACTATTGTACCCCAAAATTTTCCCTCTCATTTATCAAGATTTTTCTCACAAAATGTCTACTGGGTCAAGACTGCACAAGTTTCCATGGATCATATTGGGCTCTCAAGCATCAAATCGAAGAAGAGCAAGTTTACTTTGATTCATAAGCTTGATTGGGTATTTGGTCCCCTTCGATCAAGCTTTGGTCTACAAGCTTCGATTGGGTATTTGGTCCCCTTCGATCAAGCTTTGGTCCACAAGCCTCAATTGTGCATTGGGTCCCCTTCGAGCAAGCTTTGGTCCACAAGCTTCATTTGGGCATATGGCCCCCTACAGGTTTGCTTCGATTCACAAACAGTAGCCTCTTACGTGCTTGCTTTATTTCACAAATCAGTGGCCTCCTGCATGCAAGCTTCGATTAAGTATTGGCTTCTTATGTGTCTACTTTGATCCATAAGGCAAGTGCCTCCTTTGCGCTTGATTTCGAACCACGAGGAAAAGACTTCCTCTGGGCTTTTCTTCAATCCACAAGGTAAAGGCTTCCTCTAGACTTTCTTTCAATCCACAACGCAAAGGCTCCTTCAACTTTCCTTCGATCCACAAGGCAAAGGCTTCCTCTGTGCTTGCCTTCAATCCACAAGGAAAAGGCTCCTTCAACTTGCCTTCAATCCACAAGGCAAGGGCCTCTTCATGCTTACCTTTGATTCACCAGGCAGATGCTTCCTTCAGGCTTGCCTTCAATTCACAAGGCAAGAACTTCTTTCATGCGTGCTTCGATTCCCAAAGCAGTGACTTCCCTCATGCTAGCTTTCACTCCACCTCTGAACCTTCAACATATAATTTCTACATTATGAACATCCATTGGTGGCCCATTAGAAGAATGCACAAGGGGGTGCATGTGGCTTATTCTAAGAACACACAAGTGGTGCTTTCGAAGGACATACAATTGGTCCATTCGAAGGACACATAATTATTAGAAACAAGTTTGTTTTATCTTTTGATGAACAATGGTTCAAGATGCTTGCTGGCCAAAGTCCTACATGTTGTCAAGCCCAAGCCTCCTGCACAATTACATGCGAAGGAAATAACAAAAGAAGCTGCGATTGGCCAGAATGAAGTGTTCGAGTGGGTTTTTTGGATAGTTTCAGATCAAGTAACTAAGGCATATAGTGGCTCAATCAAAGAGGCCACAATGATGAGGATTGGATCCATTCGAATTGGAATTCAAGGCCAATCGAAGGACAATGCTTGGGAGCTGGTCGAAAGAAAAAGTCAATGCATATAGTGACTAAATTAAAGATGCTCTGATAAAGAAAGCTCTGAACAATTCAAATTTAGAGCCATCAAAGAGAACATTTCTCTAATAAGGAAAACTCTGAGCAATTCGAATTTATGCAAATTATTAACTTAATCGAAGCAGCTCTGATGATGAAAACTCTGAGAAATTCAAATTCATGCAAGGCGCCAACCATAACTTGTCCATGTTCATTCAAAGCTCAAAACGGTAAGAAATCCTCAAAAAAGGCAACCCTTTTAAGGCTTTCAATTCTGCCTTCAAAACCTGATTAATGGTTGTTTTTGCCATTTCCATTCACCACTGCCCTTTATAAATACATGGTCAAAGACACATTACCGGGGGGGAAAACCATTGAAACACTGAAACATTTTTGCAGAGACGGAGCAACATTTTGCCTATACACGCATTAGCTAGACGAAAATCTTGCCTCCAGAGACCACACATACTGCATCACACATAACACCCATTTCCTATTAAAGCTGCAGATCGAAGCATATCGGCCATAGATGTAATTTCGAAATTCAATTTCTTAATCTAAGCGCATTTATTTGTTCTAATGTTTTTGTGCGTGAAGCGTTAGACATGTTACAATCCTTACAGACCTGCCATTGTTAGGGAATTTAAATTTTGGTTCCTTAGAATCTCATGATTCATGATATCTCAGGATGAAATAGATTTCGATTCAAACTCAGGGGGGTTCGAATCAGGATGATACAGCCACAGGCTGTCGAATCCAAGACCAGATTTGGCCCAAGTCTGGAATTTTTGTTTTGCTTTTCTAATGAATTTCTTGCAGATCCAATGTTCCCAGATCGAAGGAATATGCCATACACCATCATTCCCTTGCTACCAGATGTTGGACAATTCAGAGCCAGCGCCCCCAAGCGTGCAGTCCATTATGCACCTTAGACCAGTTTCTTCATTGGGTCGAAAGGTAGCTTAGGCTTCTTTTCGATCCAGGCCTACATCCTGAAAGTTGCACTTTTTTTACTGCCTAATCTATGTATTTTGCCTCTCTTATTATTTTATTTCTTCCAGTTTTAACCAACAAAAAAATAAATAAAAAATCACAAAAATTAGGATTTAGTCTCTTTTTTTATTGAAATTAATTTCGTTAATTAATTATTTAATCACTTTAACATTTTTCTTAAAATTAAAATTAAGTAGACTTAGATTTTTTTTTCTTTTATTAAATGAAAAAACAAACAAAAGTACTCTTCTTCTTAGGGTTTTAGACGTATTTCCAATTCGCGCGCGATTTTATTTTGGTATTATTATTTTTCATGTTATTGTAATTGCCTACTGAAATGTAATAGTTTAAATTAGGACATTTACTGTTTTTATCCCCAAATTTGGACATGTAATAATCTCCCTCCCCGAAGCCATGTAATAGTTAGATTTAATTTCCACACTTTAAATTCCTGCACATATATTAACTGTTAGATGTATGGTAATAGAATTGTATGACAAGAATTTAAAATAAGACGTTAGCAAACCTAACACAAAGATAAATAACTTAAATAATACACTTGCACTTGCGCACCTTTAGGTTACTCCCATTTTGGTTGCCTTTGGAAAATAGTCACAACTCTCGAAACGTGAGAGATTTTAGTGGCTACCCTCCGGTTTTAAAAGATCATAAGTCCCTCAATTACCCTCTCGACGTTGCCTCGGTAAAAATGATCTTAAAACCCTAGGATAGTTAATAAGATTTCTTGCTAAGTTGCCTTCGTGACTATAAACATCCCTTCGAATGTCCCTCAAACATCCAAACGACTAGGGCTACCTACTCACTAATAGTATGATAGCACTGTCTAAAGGAAAGGAGGAAAAGAACGACCCTTTTGAGTAAAGTAGA